CAGGTGGTTGAGTATCAGAGTGTTCCATCTCATTTCCCTTTGGGGTTGCTGTAGGTGATCTGGTTTTGAGACTTATTTATGTGTTTTCTCATTTTGACTGGGGCGGGGGGCTATTAGCACCTGCATGGATTACCTCCTCTGAGCTGGGAGAGGTGGGACAGTGGCCGGGATCAGTGGTAGGGATGGTGACCCAAAAGCCCTTTCCTGTAGGCTGGGTACAGCGGGAGGGATGGTGGCTGGGAAGCCCCTTCCTCTGGACCAGGAGCAGCGGGACAGAAGGTGGCCCAAAAGCCCCTTCCTCTGGGCTGGGAGCAGCGGGAGGGATGGTAAATGGGAAGCCCCTTCCTCTGGACCAGGAGCAGTGGGACAGTGGCTCAGAAGCCCCTACCTCTGGGCCAGGAGCAGTGGGACTCAGTACCTTGGTCTGGTGGTCTGGTGTCCTCTGCATCTTTGTAGTGTGGAACCAAGTGGCTGCCTGTCTGCAGCGGGGTGATTCAGCATCTTCTGCATGACTCGGGACCTTGGTAGGGGGTGCACAGACCTGCCTGTCTGCAGCGAGCTGATTCGGTGTGTTTCGTGCCACTTGGGACCTACCTCAATAGGGCGTGGGCAGACCTGCCAGCCTGCAGCGGGGTGATTCAGCATCTGGGAAAGACTGAGCAATAGTGAGCATCAATTGACTTTCAGGGTGGGTGCCAGGAGATGAAAGTCCACCGGAAACCCACCCAGCTGACCCGTAGCCGATCCAGATCCACTGCGGAGTCACCCATTCATTTCTTGGTGGACATATAGGCTACTTCCAAGATTTAGCTAATATTATTTGTGCTGCATATGCATGTATCACTGTAATATGATATTTTAAGATCATTTTAGAAAATACTTTAGAAGCCAAATAGCTGAGTCAAATGGTATTTTTAGTTTTGGTTTTGAGGAATCTTCTTAGTGATTTCCATAGTGATTTTACTAGTTTACATTCCCATCAACAATGTAGGAGGGTTAATTTTTCTCCTTGAAGCCTCTCCAGCGTTTGTTATTATTTGATTTCTTGATGATAGCTCTTCTTACTGGAATAAGGTGGAGTCTCAGTGTTTTAATTTGCATTTCTCTAATAGCCAGCAATGTTGAGCTTTTCTTCATGTATTTATTGGCCATTTGTACTTCTTTTTTTTTGGTTCCGGCAATCGAACTTGGACCTTGCACTTGCGAGGCAGGTGGCGGAACCACTGAGTTAAATCCCTGGCCCTGGCCATTTGTACTTCTTCTGTGAAGTATCTGTTGATTTCAGTTCCCCATTTTTTGAATGGTTCTTTTATTTTAGGTGTCTAAGATTTTGAGTTCTTTATATATTTTAGATATTAGTACTCTGAGGAATAGCTGGTGAAAACGTTTTTCTCATTCTGTATGTTGTCTTTTCACTCTGTTGATTGTTTCTTTTGCTGTGCAGAATTTTAAAATGTAATAATTATTATTAATTAATTATTAATCTAATGATTTAATAATTTAATTTAATAAGATCCCATTTGCTGTTTCTTGGTACTATTTCCTGTTCAACTGGAACTGCTACTGTTCAGAAAGTCCTTGGCTGTGCTTATGACTTTAAGAGTTTTATCTGTTTTATCTTTCAATAGGTTAAGTGTTTCTGCTTTAACATTTAGTTCTTTGATCTCTTTTGATTTTAGTTTAGTATATGTTGAGAGATATGGGTCTAGAATTGCTCTTCTCCATGTGGATAGCCAGTTTTCCCAATACCTTCTATTAAATTGTTTATCTTTCCTTTAGTTCATATTTTGTGCCCCTTTGTCAAAAACAAATAGTTGAATGTGCTCTGTCCCAAGATCCAATCATTTCTGTTTACTTGGGAGTAAAGTTGGTCTAGTACCTTGTTCTCCAGGTATGGACCACAGTATTATTAATGACCCAAGTTGGCATCCCAAGAAAAACAAATAATAGCAAGAAACGTGTCACTTTGGCTGTGGTAATTAAGTATGCAACAATAATAGTGTGAAAGTCAAAGTGGATATTGACAAACTCTGAAGACCAATAATGTACCACCCTTAACTACAGAAAAGAGGACTATTAGCATGAACACTAAGACAATCCAAATAGTAACCCTCTATTGACCTTCAATAGATTTCTACTAAATGTCTACCAAACTTTACTTCCACTAACAGTAGAACAGTATTCAACAGTAATAGCATAAAATTAACTAGCTATCTAAAGATTCATAAAGTTTAATAGTTATACTAGTAAAGCTAGAGGGGATGGGGAACTAGAGAATAATTAATCAATAGGATATGAGATGGAGGAGAAAAATGTAAGACAGTTGGTCCTACTAGGAATAAAAGGAAATTAGAAAAGCAGCAGGAAAGAATGAACAAGAAAGAAGAAGAAAAAAGAAAATCAGACAGCAAAATAAAATCAAAGAAAAATTTGAAATGGGGAAAAGAAAAAAAGAGAGAAAAGAAACTAAGAGGAAAAAAGACCAAAAAAGGATAAGAAAAACCCACTCCCCTCCAAAAATGAAGAAATAAGAACAATAATTAAAAACAAAAATTTTTTAAAGATTAAGTCAAAGAAAAATTTCCTCTGTTATTTTCACAGAATGGTTTCTTTCCAGGGTCTGTACTCTTATAATGCAGCCTGTTATGTTCTCAGCCTAGCTTTAAGTCCTAAGGGCTTTTGAATTGCGCTCCTTGTACCTGAGGGCTTCTGTCTATTCCCCCCCAGACTGTGCTCACACTGATAGATGTGAAAAGTGACCAGCCCTCCGGTCTCTGTTGGTTGTAGATCACTGGGCAGGTGTTCAAATGGATGTTAGATTAACGTCAGTGCTCACTGGTTCTCATTGGTTCCTGCAGAAGTCCGTGCCCTCCCACTTCTGGCGGGGGCGGGCGGGGGCTGGCGGGGGCGGGCGGGGGCGGGCGTCTATGTACAGCCCATTCCCTCTCCGTGGTGATCTCCTGTGGCTGTCTTTTACCCAGTCACTATGGGAGGGTAACAGTGGAGTCCCTGAATTTGCTGGCCAGGTTCGTACTTTCTCCCTGGTCTGCTGGCCCTCCCTTCTCTCCCTAGGTATTGTCTTCTTCCAGGATCAGGTTGGTCAGTTAGTGCACTCCTCTGCTGCCCAGTTTGTAGTTCTTACTTGGAACAGGGGCGCTGCACGCTGGGACCCCTCACTGGCTTTCACCAAATATCAGAGGCAATTTATGTAAAATTACTCTTCCAGGTAAAATTGATAATTTCAGATTATAATCAAAACTTTTTGGTTTGAATTGAATTTATTAAGCTGGGAGTAATTATTATCTTTCCATGCAATAAAATAGAGTATTGCACTATTGTCCCTGGTCTTTTTTATGCCTTTCAATAAGGTGTTATTATATTATTTATTGAATATACTCCAATAAGCTTTTTCCTATTCATTTTGTACATTTTGTTAGCGATGTACATTGAATTATCACATCATTTCAGTTTCCAATCAGGTATTTCTAGTAGGAGAAAAATATTTTCATTTTAAAATTTATCTGATAAATACAAGTCACCCTATCAAAATTTTGCTTATACTTTTTAGTTTTATTTAGTTGATTCACTTGAGTCTTCTATGTATACAGTTAAACACACATATACAATAATCATATTGTATGTAATATGATGTACATAGAAGACATAGCTGTGCTCAAAAGTGGAAAAACAAAGCTTCCGAGTCTTAACAAGCAAAAAAGAATCATGAACCTGTAGGGTAATATGGAGTAGAAATTCAAGACAAGAGGATAATGGAAATGACGATTGCAACCCTGTATGATTGTTGGCTCTAATTTGTATTCCTGAGGAGTATAATCAAAGGAAAAGGAATTATTCCATCAGTGAGTAAAATGGGTGACATTTTACGCATTTTATGAAAGACCAAGTCTATGCACCGTTACTCAGCAGGTCTTAGGTGGCAGCAGAGTCACCTGTGAGGATCCTTGTGGATCTGGGCATTTTCCTAGAGCGACTGGTTAGACGAGGTCTTAAATGTGTATGCAGCTGAAAACATTTGGGAAGATTTTTCACCTTCCCCAAATCTCCTCCCTGAATGCCTCAAATTAATTGCCCAACTATGAAAATTCTCCCCAGATAGCCTAAGAATTATCAATTACAGCAAAATGCCAAAACTTTAAAATCACTATGGGAAAGAGAAAAATCAACGAATCCCACACAGTAGCTTTCATATTCTCACCCCACCCTGCCCACTGCAGATCTCTGAGAAGTACTGGTAGGAACTACTGCAGGGAAAGGGAAAGACAGAGAGGCTAACAAAGAGTCCCAGTGGGGATTCGGAAAGACCAGGAGAATAATTCTTCACACTAAAGCTGACAATTCAGGCAAGGGACTAGGAGCAAAGGATAGTAAATATATGTGATTTAAAGGGTCAGGTGCCATGTAAGAGATCAATGATGCAACGTAAGGGGTCAGGCTTTTCCCGAAAGTTTAGATGCATGATTTAAAGGGGCAAGAATGATTGTAAAGGAGAGGAGTCAAATGTGGGTAGTCTTCCAAATTCAGAGCTTCTGACGGAGAAAAAAAATTAAATAGGAAGAAACAAGAACTTTCTGCCACCCAAGTAATGCTAGGGAAAAGGAAAAGGGAAAAATTTAGGATTCTGCAAGACAGAAAAGAAACATAATTGGAAGACCAACACTCGCTATTTGTCAAAAAACCAGCCTGCAATAGCAACAAATTACAAATTAGTACAAATTAACAGAAAATTCTCCCCGCTCACATGCTCTCTGACTGATTATAGTTTTGTTTTTAGTAAAATGTCCAAAGCTGAACTTTTTCATTTTTCTCTATTACAGTGCTGTCAACCATGTTCAGGAGAGGAAATGGCTTAATTTTCTTTTTGTCTCTTTACTTGCATGGTCTACGCTGCTGCCATTCTTATGTTTTCCATACAGTATAGCAGGTGACTATAAAAATATAATTAATTAACTAAAGGTCAGTATCCCACCCCCCGGCCCCTGTTCTCATAGCATGGTTGAACTGCATCTTGGGAATACACCTCTTTTACCCATCTGTCATATAGTGTCATGTGGTAATGTTTTTGAACAAATAAAACAACAATATGTAGCAACATACTTTATGTATGTATTAGAATTTCATATACATATATATATATATGAAAATGCTTTATATTTAAAGTATATAGTTGGTTTTTAAAAATGAAGTATATTTAAAGCTTCCTAACATCCTTTAATGTTTATACCATCTCAGAGACATTTTATAAGACAAAGTCACTGTTAAAATTATTGCAAAAACAAAATGTACATGCAAAGTCAGAAAAATCAATTCTATCTTGATGGTGTATTTCATTGGCACAAAATATTTTTAGTAAATGTAGAGATTATCCTTTCAGTCTTTAGAGCTGTGATATCAAACATGTTACACACTTGTCAAATGTTTCTTTTTAAACTAAATTAAAAATGTACTCTATTATAGGAAATACACTCCCAGTACTTAGTAGGCATAGGTACTAGTGGATAGTACTGATATGGATATCTTTCATTACCACATTATCTCAATATCATACTATCTTTAAGACAGCATTGTTTTAGAAGAATGTGTCTTTTGATTATTTAGATTGATGTGAGCTTGTTTGAAAATGTCTCATTAGCCTTTCCAGAATAAATTAGGTTTGTTGGGACTTGCATATATGTGTTTTATCTGTTTTTAAATTATTTTAAAAGGTCATAAGTTTCTTTTTCTTGTTATCATACAGGTACAGCAAAGATAAAAGCTAGGAAACAAAGAGAGTTTCGTTTGTTTGAGAGCCGCCTTAACTATTGGAAATTTGGAGGAAGTATTAAGGACTTGTTTGGTGCTGTTTGGGTAAAATAATATATTTCTTTGTAAACCTGCTATTTAAGTTGATAAGTATGGTTTTCTCATTGTTTTTTTTTTTGTTTTTTTTTTTGGTACCGGGGATCGAACTCAGGACCTTGCACTTGAGTGGCAGGTGCCAGAACCACTGAGCTAAATCCCCGGCTCACCAGTATCGTTTTCTAATAGTGGGATTAAGAAAATAGTCCTAAGTGTTCAACTTAAATTTGCATAAAAGTTTTTGAGTCTTTTAATTATTTATTTTCTATATAATAGAAAATAGGACACCACTTATGTTAATAGCATTGCCAAGAACTTGGCTGGTGTCAGAGACTAATACCAGGTATTTTCTTTGTATTTCTTTTATATTATTTTGTTTTTATTTTCCCCCAAGAAATGAGAAGTTTCTTTAATGAGATGATGTATAGGCATCAACATTATTTTTATTATGTTTAAATTATTTAGAAGAACTTTAGAAGTAAACACACATTCCCACAAACATCGTATTTCATGCAGACTGTCTCATCACAATATCAAATGAAGAACCTTTGTTTCTTTAGGTAAGAAAGGGTGCTATACTATAGATGCCATAGGATAAAAAACACTAACTTACCAATAGCTTCTATTTGTTTTCTCTTCTGCTACTTAATAATCTTTTTAATGCTGCCTGCACAATTATTTTACTCACATATAAATTTTATTAAGTTATTTCTCAGATTACATTGTAGGTGAATTTCAAAATGGGACTTTCAAGACCTTATAATAGAATCAATTATATTTTCTTGCTTCATTTTCTCAGAATTTTATTCCTTTTCCCCCCGTAGTTTAATCACTTGCCTTTTATTTTACATAAATAATAATTTTTTACTGATTTCTAATCACCAAGTGTTTTCCTTTTTGTCAAGTCACCCAACCATTCCTTGTAGTCTACCACATTTCATTAAGCTTTTAAATTTACTTTTAATTTTATCAGAATATACAAGTACATATTTTAACAATGCAGAAGCCAGTTGTAACTTTTTCCATGTTGTTAAAATTAAGATATAGTTGTTTAGAAAACACTGCATAAAATTTAAGCATGAATGTTTTAAGATTTTTTCTTTAAAAATTTAAATATGCATTAACTGTGCATATTAATTGGGTTCACTATAATATTTCAACATATGCAGACAGAATGCACCAGTCAAACCTAGATAAATGATATTTCTCTCCTCTTATCATTTGGTTTTTTGTTATTGTTGTTGTTTTGGGGTACTGGGGATCAAACTCAGGACCTTGTGCTTGCAAAGCAGGTGGTGGAACCATTATCTAAATCCCGGGCCCCCTCTAATCATTTCTTTGTGTTTGAAGCCTTGAGCTTCTCTCTTTTAGATTTTCATATGATATGTAATAATTGTGAACTGTAGTAACACACTATACTGTAGAACACAAGAACTTATTCCTTCTATCTAACTGTCTTTTATGCTTGTTTTCCAGCCGCCTTTGTCAATCCCCTTTTCAGTTTTCAACATTCAGGGCAACTTTTATTTTTAGATTCCATGTATGAAAGAGTACATGTAGTATTTGTCTTACCAAGCCTGATTCATTCAACTTAATAATATTCTTCAGCTCCATTTCATTCTCTTACAAATGACAAGATTTTATTCTTCTTCATGATTGAATAATATTCAGTTGCCTACACACACACTACATTTATTTATCCAATCATCAGTTGATAGGTACTCAGATTGATGTCATAGGTCAGTAATTGTGAATAGGACCACAGTAATTATGGTCATGCAGATAATTCTCTGGTATACTGATTTCATTTTCTCTGGATACTGTTACCATTTAGATTTGAAGTGTCCATGTAGTCACTGCTGGGAACCTGTGGAAATTTGAAGTGGGCTCCATAGGAAAGTCTTTAGGTCATTAAGCTTGTGCCCTGAGTGGATTGTGAGGCCCTGGTCCCTTTCTTTTTCTCTTTTGTGTCCTGGAATGTTCAGTGGAGGGTTTGTTTTCCATGTGCTCTTGCCAATGTGTTGCAACAGGGTTAACCAAACAGGGACTGAAACCAGTAAAAGTGTAAGCCAAAATAAACCTTTTCTCTTTATAAATTAATTATCTTAGGTATTTACCTCAGCAACTGAAAGCTGACTGAGATATAGCTGGGTCGTATAACATGGTCATTTCTTTTCTTTTTTTGAGGAATGTACTTTCTATTTTTCATAATCACTGGACCAATCTACATTCCTATCAACAGGGAATGATATTCTTTTCTCCACATCCTTGCCAACATTTGCTATTTTTTCTCTTTTTGATAATATCTATTCCAAGAGGGTAGGAAGACATATCTTTGTAGTCTTACTGATTTGCTTTTCCCTGCTGGCTAATTATGTTGAGTGTTTTAAAAAATATATATATATTTCCTGGCCATTTGTATTTCTTCTTTTGAGAAATGTCTATTCAGACCATTTCTCCCTTATTTTAGTTGGCTTACAGTTTTGCAGTTAAGTTTTTTGAGATTCTTATTTATTCTGGATATTAATTCTTTGTCAGATGACTAGTTGGTAAATATTGTCTTCTTGTAGCTTATTTTTTCACCCTGGTGATTGTTTGCTTTGCTAAACAGAAGCTTCTTTTTTTCAAATTTGAACTGAATTGTTTTCAATTTTAGTAAGAAAATTTCATAACAAAATAATAGGAGAATAACAAAAGTAAGACACTGTGTACCATTATCTTCAAAGCAATTACTCAGAGTACGAGACATAAACCAAAAAGTTTCTTACAAAAAATAAACAAACAGATAATGGCACAAAGATTTATTTTCAATGAACTAAGATAAATGGTAGTGTAAAAACACAAACGAACAGCAATGGGCTTAGTATACATTAACTTATTCTACAAAGCCATAGTAGTGAAAACATTGCAGCGTTTCCTCTGTACAAATAAACAGAAGTAATAGAAGAAAAAACCAACTCAGCAATAGAGTTTATATACTATATAAAATTTTGAGGGCTGAGGATTTAGCTTAGTGGTTCCACTGCCAGTACCAAAAAAAAAAAAGTGGTGTTTTTTTGGGCTGGGGATTTAGCTCAGTGGTTCCACTGCCTGTCCCGCAGGCACAAGGGCCCGAGTTCAATCCCCGGTACCAAAAAAAACCACAACATTTTGAACATGGTGAAATCAGCACTGTAAGAATAATTGTTCAATGTGTGATGAAAAATTTGGTGGTCTATATGAAAAATCAGGTGAGAGCGCTACCTCTTATGATGTGGAAAGGCTATTAACAGGTAAACAAAATTTTGGCCAGGTGCCTAGGTATTGTATGTAGGCCCTTTTCACTGAGCTTCATGCACAGGATCTCACTAAGTTGCCTAGGCTGAGTTTGAATTTGAGATCCTCCTGCTATAGCCTCCCAGTATGCTGGGATTATAGTCCTGTACGACCACACCTAGAGTTAATAAAACTTTTAAATTAGCAAAAGATAATTAATGTTAAAAGCTAGAGAAATATTTTGTAACATAGAAATGGGAAATGTTAAACAAGATTTTGATAGTGTAAAACAGTCAATAAAACTTTATGGATTAGATTATAAAAAGCCGAAGATTAATAATAAGGAAACTATAGACAATATTAATAGATGATAAGAGATATCTAAATCCAAGAGAGTAATACTTAGAATGAGCAAAGAATTCTTGGAAAAATCTACACAAAATTTTCAAGAAGCCTAATAGAAATAGCAATAGTCAGTACACACACACACACACACACACACACACACAATGCACACACCTCAAAAAGCTAAAAAAAAGCTTAGTTACATTTGAAATTACATAAATACAAAACAAAGCTTTGTGACAGTACTTTATATTTGTCTGCATGAGATTTTGAAAACTCGAAATATTATCAAGTGCTTGTGACTTCTGTGGGATGTGCCAATTATCTACTGCAAGTGACAAAGCACCACAGACATTAGTGGCATAAAACAATAGAAAAGCCTATTTTGTTTATATTGGGATTGATAATTTATACGTATACATGTATTTATTTATATATATGAATTCCTCTTGAGCTAACAAAATAATTGATAAATACCATTCCCATTTCAGATTCTGCTGAAGAATCCAGTGTTTATGTGCCAAGCTCTATCCAAAGCTTCAGAATCTTTAATTATTATTGGAGCCTCTGAATTTTTGCCTATATATTTAGAAACTCAGTTTATATTAACACCCACGATGGCAGCTATGCTTACAGGTAGTCTTTCCTTCATATTATCATCATTTCAAAAGTTTTGTGGAGTCTTCATGTATGCACATTTATTAAATATTTCTAGCAAGCAGAAAATATAGAGAAATATGCTTAAATACTATTTGCTGAAATTTTAAAAAATATGAACACTCTGCTATCATTCCATCAATATTTTTTAAAACAAAACTTTATAATTTGCATCCCGTCCAAGCCCATTTCTCTTCCTCTCTTCCCTTACATAACCACTCTCCTGAAGTTACACTGAATCCTCTTTGTACATGTTTCACCTCAGGTTTCTACTTTTTTTCCTGTCTATATTCAGTCCATTTCTAAAATTTATTTTACACAAGTTTTTCTGCTACTTCTTTTTTTCATCAGAAATTATGTTTTTCACACACATGTTAATCTACATCTATTTAATGCATCTTAATTATTCTATGGGGATTCTGTTTTATGAATATACCACTGTGTATCCCTTATCACATTGACAGATATGAAATTGTCTCCAGTAGGCTTAGTGATATCTCCTTATGCAAATTTGCAAAAGTTATTCTATGTTTTGACATTAAAAGGGAATGTTATTGTGCATATCCCAATTTAACTAGTTATTAAGAATTTAGCTCTCCAAAGGAGGTTTCTAATGGAATTAAATGTTATAAGGTTCTAGCGTTAATAAGAAAGTGGGAAATGTGGTAATTATTTTAGGCTATGAAATGTTAAGAATGCATGCTGGAACTTTTAATCAATAAAGGAATAGTCAAAGAGGATATTAATGTGAAAAATCGAATAAAAGCAAAACCAGGAAGGAAGGAAAGAACATAAAATATTTGGACCAAATAGAAAACAAATATTAATATGTGCAGAAACCTTGAATATGTCAATTATTAAAATACATTTTTCTATAAAAGTCCAAGCATTGTCAGGCAACAAATTTTCCAAAAAGCTAAAACATGATACAAACAGTCATGATGACATATTTCCTGTAAGTGAACTATTTGCCACTGTGTTTAATCTAATCAACAGAGGTTGTGCAGTAAGTACTTTGGGTTTGTTTCTCATAGCCTTCAGTTAAGCTCTAAATTCCAAGACACAGGGTGAGAGAGCAGCAGGAATGACCTCAACCCTGCCTTCAAGCTCCTGGACCCAGCCAGATGAACACAATTCCCATGAGATTTTCCTTTGATGTTTTGTATTGAAATTTCCACTTAGCCTGAGTGATTAGTCCATGTCTAACAGAATGTATTAGAAATTGCATATTCTATATTGACCTACAAGGATTTGGGACAATTCTGTCATCAATAACAATGCCAATCAGTGACTTAGGCTTGCCAGAGTGCTTTCCAGGGACAAATTAGCCTCACTGATTTTTTGGCCTAACTTCAAGGATAAATTTTGCATCATCTTTTCTACTTGAACTGCTCTGATTATAGAGATGATTGCCCCCAGGATTGATATAAATAATGTGTCATTAATCCCTCTGGGAAGTACCTCTGAGTGACCAAGAGCAACTTTATTTTAGAAAGATTTCCATAGTCTTCTGAGGCATATGATCTACTGGCTTTTTTTCTTTAAATATAACTTCCTTTAGGACCACCTCTATGCTCTTCAAAATCTCATTTCCATTGGACAAGTACAGTTTGTCAACAGTTGTGAGGTAGGTGCAGCTCAGATCAAAAGGAGAGTGTCAGTCCCCAGAGTTCAAGTCTTTATGTTTCAAGGCTTCTGCTTTGATAAGAGGACAGTAGTACGCTCATAGCTGCTTTTCAAAAGGTAGCTGTTTTAGGGAGTCAGTGAGTCCCCCACCCAAGGAAGATGTCTTAGTGGAAGTTTCTCCCTTTTCCAGAAGCACCAGTCCACAAAGTCTCTAGTCACGAAGACTTGAGTTCAGAGGGGTCATCTGACTGTGTTTACCTGATAAAAGATGGACTAGAATCCCCAAGTGGGTCACCTCTGATGTCCACAGTACAAAGTGATGCTAGTCTGCTTTTTGTTTGGAGGGGGGAAGACTTGGTTTTTCCTTGACTGCCAGAGAGATTGAGCACTATGTATTTGTCTCCATGATCACTGAGAAACATGAGAAGTCGTCTGGATTTCACTGGCCTCTATCATTTACCCTTGTTTTTTGTTTTTTTTTTTTAAGCCCCATAAGTAAACTTTATTCCCAAAACCTTGATTACAAACTGATTTTTCCAATGGATAATTAAGTAAAGGCTCAAAATTAGTTCTTTGCTTAAGCTTCATTCTCAAGAATGTTTCCATATCAGCAAGTTATTTAAACTTAGTAGAAGATGGATTACCCTTGTTTTTGACATTCTGAAAATACCAGAATGAGAGTTGGTGAGTTGTCATCTATCAGTGAAAGGTTTGGGCCCCAGTGTGATGCACTCTCCTGTGCCAAATGGCTCCCGGAGTTTAGGTACCTCTGAGGGGATACTACAAATGTATATCTGTGGCCTTGCAGCATGAATAATTGATCTTTATCCTTAGGTGTCAATGAAATACAAAAGAAGGCTTTGGTAATGTCCACTATAGCATATAAAGTGCCATCAGTTAATGTTGGATTTGGTTACATCACAGTATAGGTTCAACAATTAAATTCAGTGGATTAGTAATCTACTGTAAACTTCTACTCCTCTTTACCTTTCTCACTGACCACAAGGTCTGCTAAGTTGAAATATTTCATGTCTTTCTACCCCTGCGGAATTTAAGTTCGTATTCTAGCCTGGGACTTTTCCTTTATTTATTAGGATCATACAAAAGGAGAGAGAGGAAGACACTTTGGGTAGCAATTAATGTATTCTGCTATCACTTTGGGGTTGTCAAACCTTAAAAAGCAGAATTGTTAGTTATACACTTAGAAATGGAGTCGCAGTATCGGGATACCACAACAAAAGGACATTTTAATTGTCTGAAGCAGTACCCATAGGTCACTTTACCCTCTTTTCAGGGACAGTCCAAATTCTATCAATGTATCACATAGGAATTTATTTGTCTTGGGGAAATCTTCCTCAGAGGGTCAAACGCAGGTACTTTATAGCAGAATACATGGCAAAAACTCTGAGATCTTATACTATTACCTTAAAATAGATCCCACATTGATATGATAAGCTTCAAGACAAATGTTTCATTAATAAGCAATCACGCATTCTACTGTCATCTTCCAAGCAAATTAGCTAATGTTCTTATGGTTCACAGGGTCATTTCACATAGTGGTTGTAAATTTTCTGCTTTTTACGCTCAGTATGGTTGCATATCTCCATTCACTGTTGCCTGAAAGTAGGAGGAACCTTCTGTCTGATCTTGATAATGAGTGGTCACAATAGGTCAGACCTTAGATTGGTGGCCAGATTCACAAGGAAGTGCCCTGTCCAGAGGCTTATTCATAAAAACTATTGAAACTGGTATGGAATTGGAGCCAATTTCTGAGCCATAGTTACCACAAAATGATGTGAAGAAAGGCCAGATACCATCTGCACACACAGTGAGCTGTGTTACTGGAAAGGAACCTAAGCTTCAGGAGTCAAAATCTTTTATAATAGAAAGTAATCATGCCTGGCTTTGACTTCAGGAGACATTATAGTAGATAACATACATGTATACTAGATAACATGCATGTCTCTTCTTAGCCTCAGAAGGAATACTATCTCTGTCTCCTGAAATTGTAAAGTAACTTGGAATGAACCACTTTTCCACTTTCAGGTGGTGGCCTTAATAGTATGCAGCTTTCTTCTGCCAATGTGACTTGGGGTGCTGCTTTGTTCTGTAATGTGGAGTCTGTTTCCTACTGGACTCAGAGTGATCACCCCGTAGTTTCTTTGTTTGTGATTCATGGCATTGGGCTCAGAGCATACTCCATTGGGGTTGGAGTGACTGCTGCCTCTGCAGGTTTTGAGAGGATGAGGCACTCTCACACTTCATGTGGCTGTGGTGTAGTCAGGAGAATGTGTGTCCTGCACCCTCTGTGGTTACTCCTGCTGGGAGAATGGCAGCTACTAAGGAGGCTGGGATTTCCACAGGCCCTGCTGATGTAGCTCTGTCCTGGAAAGTGATTCTGATGCCGGTTGCTCCAAGGGTGTTGAAGGATGTGAAGCTCTTGTCCTCTGTTTGGAGATGGATGTGGATCAGGCTGCTTCACAGGGAAGGATGTGGGCTGGAGTTTCACCTCCCCTCCAGTGGGACTCACTTATTGGCCCTCGGCAATCTGACCGAGAACTGCTGCAATTGATGCAGAGGATCTATGTGTAAGCAAGTGGTGTCACCCACAGTTATTGTTTTGCTCTCTGCTGGTACCTGAGAGTATCCTCCCTCCACCTATCTATGCCCACCTGAGCATCGGCCCATATCTGGGAGTTAATGTCTTCTCTTTCATTTAAATAGAAGCTTCCACCATTGTTTGAGCAGGACAGGGTTGGGCTTAATTTCTCCCAAGTCAGCCAGGGGTGTATAGCTCCTCAGCACAGCACCTGCTCAATGTGTGCCAGGCCCTGGGCTCAGTCCCCAGTGCTGAGTGAAAAAGGGGATGAGAAGAGGGGAGAGGGAGGTGGGAGGGTAGAGAGGAAAGGAGAGGAGAGAGGGAGGGGGAGAAAGGGAAAGGGAGAGGGAGTCTGGGGGTGGGTTTTTAGAAGAGAATACAATTACATAATAAAAACCAAAAATGATATAAATATAATTTAAAAAGGGAAAAGGAAAGAAGAAAAATTGGGAAAGAAATGAAAGAAAAGCATCTAATTAAGAGATTTGAAAAACAGGATAAAAGGTAAAGAAAAACAGAAATAAAAAGCAACAACAGTAATAGAATAGAAGGAGAGGAAAAAAACTAGTAAAAATTTTATCCTATTCTAGAAGCTTCGGAAAGCTTCTCTCTGGGTCTTCTAAGGTTGCGATTTGCCATGTATGGAGGGGTTAGTGGGTTGCAGCTGCAGTCCATAATTTCCCTCAGCTCTTGCCAAACTAGGTGGGGTGGAATGCAGGCTGCTCCTTGCGTTTCACAGATTAGGAGGATGTCAACCACGCCAGAGTTTATTCTCACGTAAGGCTTTCAGTCTGTTTATCTGGGGGCGTGGCCAATGTCTCAGCTACCGCAAGGCCTTCTCTTGGGTTGAGCGTGGGTGGAAGGTGATCTTTCTGGCCTTACATTTTCTCTGGAGGTCATTAATCTGCACACTGGGGTCATGGCCCAGGCCGGGGTGCAGCAAGCCCTTCTTATTGTCCAAGTTTTGGAACGAGTATCTATTCACTTGGGCTTTCAGTGTTCGTCCGTCCGCAGGCCTGGCAAATACCGAAGCCACGGGCGAGTCCCAGAATGCCTCCGAGAGGAGGGCGCAATTGAACCGCCCACTTCTGGGTAGGAAGGGAGGCTGTGGAACTCGGGGATCTGTTAGCCTCGATCCCCGCTCCTGCTCCTCAGAAGTGGGAGGCTGATGTTGCTTCGCTTCCCATAGGGCAGCATCTCCGAATCCCTGCGCCCTCCCCTCCCCTCTCCCTCTCGAGACTCGCTCACCAGTGGCACAAATGCTCAGCGGTCAGTGTCCGAAACACTTCCCGAACCACTGGCCTAGCCTAACCAGCCAGTGTGGCGAGTTGCCCAAGGGCATCTTGTGATTACTCTGGGTTTTCTGACCCTAGGGGAGTCTTGTGATTATGCTGGGTTTTCTAACCCCAGGGCAAGTTAGTCCTTAAAACAGAGCCTTTCTCAAGATGACCCTTGGCTCTTGCACACCGAGTTTGCTGAGAGAGGCAGTGATTATTTTTTTTTACTCAGAGTTTGCTGAGAGATGCAGTTACGCTGGGTTTTCTGATTCCAGAGCAGTTTAGTCTCTAACAACAGGACCTCTCTCAGGAGGACCCTTGGCTCTTGCACGCCTAGTTTGCTGAGCGAGGCAGTGATTTTTTTTTTTCCTCTAAAGCCAGATTGTTGTGCAGACTCCAAGTCATCTATTTATTTAAGCTGTTTTACCACAGGGTGCCACACTTAGAGTCTGTGTCACGTTGCAGTAACAAATGCAATCTGGTGTTAGTGGATCTTTCTCTTCTTAGAAGTCCTCTTCACCCAACCAAGGACCCTGGGACCAGGAGCTGGGGTATTCATTTTCCCTTCCCCTTCCACTCCCTCCTTCCCCTCCCCTTCCCCTTCCTTCCTTCCTTCTTTCCTTCCTTCTCCCACTCCCTCTCTTTCTTTCATCCCTACTCCTGGAGTCTATTAGGTTTCATGTTCTCTGCCATCAGTCTCAGTCCAGAGATAGCCCCAAGGGATGTAGCTCTTTGCTTGCTTACATCCCTTGCTTTGTGTTCATCCTGTGAGGGTCCTGAGGGTTTCTATTCTACCACGTTGACCCTCCACTTCGTTTTTAATTTTAACAATTAATTGTTTTAATTCCCAAATTTCCTATTCGTTCCTTTTTATCTACTTGTTTTATCCCTTTCCCTTTTACTTACTTCATTTTTATGAAATTTTTTTCTTTATCATTTATACTTTTGAACATTCTGAAATTGCTTGTTTTCCAGTATTTGTCAGACCTTCCATAATATAAATTTAACTGGTATTAATATTTTGTGATTTGTGCATTAAATCTCCCTTGCTATATTCCTACCTACATCTACCATTGCTCTGTGTTTGGAGCTGGAGGGTTTGCATCAATGTATGAGTTTGTTGTGCTATCTTCATCTGATCATTTGCTAACTGTATTTCTCTTCATCTTTCTTTTTCTCTTTTTTCTCCTCCCTTCTTTTCTTCCTTGGGCTTTTTCCTTTGTAATTTCTCCTGCTTGAACAGGAAACTGTCTTATGGAAGCTATTCTAGATTCCCACTTTATTTTGTGAGATTCTTAATATTTCATCTATATTTACAGATGCAAGGGGTGGCTTGTTCACAAATCTCTGTTTGAGAGCACCTGTCACTTGAACACTGCCTCTTGTAACAAGCCACAAATCCAGTTGGCTAGCTAACAATAGCTTTCAAAAAGACAGGTCCCCAGTTCTCACTGGCGTGGATTCAGTTACTGGTGTGTCTTGGATATCATTACCATGCAGGAGCAAAATTCCACCTTACTTCCTTAAGAGTCCAGCAGATCTAAGTCATCAGCCTCATTCACATATCTGTATTTCTCATAAGGTTCAGGTTTGTTGAGATATTTATCATGACTTTAGTCTTTTTCACCTGTCTTTAAATTTACATATATGGTAGTTGTATGTTAGAGAAGGAATTGCATAAGTGTATGATTTTTTATATTATTAAATGATTAATTTTAACTGTATTTTTTGCCTTTCTTTAGGACTTATTTTAGTGCCAGCAGGTGCACTTGGCCAACTTCTAGGAGGCATCATTGTTTGCCAGTTGAAAATGTCTTGTAAAGCCCTGATGAGATTTGTAATAGTTTCATCTACTGTATCAATTATATTTATTGGGATAGTAATTTTCGTACACTGTGATCCAGTGAGGTTTGCTGGAATCAATGAAAATTATAATGGGTAAGTATAATTTTGTATATTGGACTTTTAAATCAGAAACTAACAACAAAAATATCAATCAATTAATAATTATTCAATAATCCTGTTACACTTATATCATTCTTGTAATTATTAGACATGGAAAAGAAATAGAAAGCAGAGTTTCACCATTCATATGAAGGAAAAAATACTATGACACCTGATAATATATAAGGGAAAAAATACTCTGACACCTGATGATATATGGGTTATTCATTCATATAGAGAAAAATATATTGAAATGAATCAGGACCTAAAAGTAAAATTTCATATTAGTGCAGGTAGCAAATAGAAGACATTACTGACTTCTGCACAATGGCAATGTTACCTTTTGTTCTTGATTTAGTCTGTCTGTCTTCTACTCATCAAAGCATGGAGTGAAGTGCATCTGAAAGTATGCATGGATAATAACTTCTTTGCTTTAAATTGTAACACTTCAAGAACTAGGTAGAGATTGATATTAAATACTCGGCAACAGAACTGAAACTAGAAACCAAAGGACTGAGCAAGTAAAGCAAGCAATGGAAATAAGACTTCTACTTCCAACTACAGTGGAGTAACGTATGGAAGACCAATGGTCAACAAATGTTACTGGAGCTAGTGGCTATCTGCAGATTGAAAAAAATTACTTAAATTTCAATCATTATACAAATTTATTTGGAATACAGACTAATATGGTTCATAAAGTTAAAAAAATATTAAATTTTTAGGAAAAACAAAGGTGAAAATCCTTAAAACTTAGAGCTAAATGAAGAGTTCTTAGACATATCATCGAGTATGAACCATAAATGGAAAAAAAATGATTAATTGGACTGTACAAGAATTAAAAGTTTTATATTCAAAGGACTCTGCTAACAAGGTAAAAATGTCCTATAAAGTGGATAAAATATTTGCAAACTGCACATTAATGAGTGTCTATAATTGAAGAGTTAATAATGTTGATTAAAAATCCCTGGGAAAAAAATACCAAATAAGAATTAGCTATTCTTTTACTCTAGCAAGAAACAAATGGAAGATATATCATTTTTATGGAACTAGTTTATAAATTAGCATGTAAGATATATGAAAATAAATTTATCAGTGATGATCAAAACTTTTATGATGAAAAATAGGACTTCATTAATATGCATAAAAATACCTCAAATAAGCAAAAGAATGTTTATATATCTGAGGACTAAATATTATAAAGGTATTACTTTTCTGCAAATTATAACTTCCTTGCAACATTAATAAAAATCTTAACAGAATCTTTCACAGACCTTAGTTTATTTTATAGAAAAACAAAACACTAAGAAAATATAATACACTCCCTAAAGGAATGCCAAGTTAGAGAACCTCACTAAAAGAAAAGCAAAATTTATTGTGAAATTGAAACAATTAAAATAGTAGTCTTTTTTATTTAGTACATGTTTTGATACATAGTTGTTAAGTTCATTTTGGAGAATTGGTGCATGCATATAGCATATCTTGTTCATTTTTAATCCTTTTATCCCTCTCTCCCTTTCCTAAACCCTCTCTCTGATCTCCTTCCCCATTTTCAAGAATCTAATAATAGTTTCCTATAATCGGTCCTTTATTTTATTCATCTGCTTGTTTATATTTTAGTTTTCTCATACAAGAGAAAGCATGTGATATTTAACTTTGAGTCTGCCTTACTTCATTTAGCACGATTGTAATTGCACAGATGGTAAAAGATTTTAAAATAGAGAGGCCAGTCATATATCAATGAATACTTGGAAACTTGATATATGAAAAATATAGAAAGAACATTTTATGAGGAATTCTGAGATTTTTTTTAAAAAAGTAGTTCTGGAAATTTTATTTATCTCACAGGAAATAAAACTTTGATCTCCACCTCCCATAGTACATAATTTTCTAATTTGTGGAAGACCTGTATGTCAAAAGACAAAACTTTTAATGTTCAGGAAAAAATTGCAGAAAATACATTTGACCTTAGAGTAAAGCAGAATTTCTAAAAGCAGATCTAAACTACTTCACATTTATAAATGAAAAGAGTGGTATATTAGATTATTCTAAATTTACATCACAATTTGGTATCTATACATTATTCCCAGAAGAATGTTTGCTGCTGAGTAGAACAACACAGAAAGGGAAGAAGAAAGTTACACAGCGGTTTGTATCCAAGATCTAAGAAAACTGAGTATTGGATAGATGAATATTACTTATGGTTTATTCTTTTGTGAATGGTTCTAATATTTCATTATTAGAAAAAGCTTATAATATGTAAATATGACAGATCTTCCCCAATCATGGAGTTATAATGGCATACTTGGTTTGGTGATAAGTAACATAAAAAAGTATTATCTTGAATAATACTGGATTTCATTTTTCTCCAATCACACTTCAGGAAAACCTCATGAGCTTAAAAAGTGGCTGGGGTGGTGCTTTATGATGTAGAAGCAGGTTCTTTCAGTCTTACTGACCTGTCCTACATTGCTTTAATTCTGCTATCACTCTTTGGATTAAGATGCCTGGTTCCTAGAGTTCAGGCATTATATTTCCTTTCCATTCATTATATGACAAGAAAGAAGGTATTAAGAACAGTTTCAGAAGTGAATCACACTGCTGTACATATGCTGACCAGGTCTTTGGCTTGCAGTCTACATTTGATATAGAAAATTACTTTTATTCTGGAGAGCCATAGACTTATGGTGAAAAATTAAGCTCCTTTAGTGTGGAAGAAGAAAAAGCACAATTTGAAGGTAATTTTGTCACAAACATCAGTGTTCTGAAAATTCTTAGTTTTGAAATTTACTTTTTAACTCATGTAAAAAACAAAAATTATATTTATGGTGTCTGATGTGGTGTTTACATTAATGTTTCAATACATTCTACATTCAAGTTAAACATATCTGTCTCAAACATTTATCACTTCTGTATAGCAAAAATTGTTCAAATTCTTGCTTTTAGCTTTTTGAGATATGCAATATACAATCACTGCCTATAGTCACCCTATTGTAAAATAGCACACTAGGGTCTCTTCCTATCTGACTAAGATGTAGTATCCATTGATCAACCTTTTTATTCTGTATAATAAATCAAAACCAAAATAGAAAAAATTCATTTAACTCATTGCCTTTCATTAAAATTGTTTCTAAAGACAAATATAATTCACAAATGTGTATATAGGGCAGAAGACAATATAGCCACCATATTGAGATAAAGTCAATTAACCTACTCAAAGGGAAAAAATGAATGAAAAAGAACAAAAAATTCTTACAGGACCTATTGACTTCATTAACATACATCTGTATCATTAGGTTTTCAGCAGGAGAAGAGAGAAATGCACAAGAAGCATATTTCACAAACTAATGCCTGAAAACTTGTCAAGTTTTGTGGGAGATATGTGAACTCCAAGAATCCCAGTTAGACCCAGCCCAAAGATCTCCTTTTCAAGGCATATTATAATCAAGCTGTCAAAAGCTAAAAGCAAAAAATTCCAAAAGCAAGAGAAAATGTCAAGTCACATGCAAAGGAATCTTCATACAAGTAACCGTGAGCTTGTTCACAGAAACCTTGCAGATCAGGAGAAAATGGGATAACATATTCAGAATGATGAAAGAAAAAGGATAGCTGAGAAGTATACCTAACCAAGTGTTCCTTTAGAAATTGAAGAAAAATGAAGCCTCAGGGAAGTAAAGACTGAGGGATTTCATCACCACTAGAATGGCTTCACTGAAGTTTAAGAGAATCCTAAATCTAGAAGTAGAAGATTGATAACTTCCATCATGAAAACACAAGAAAGTGTAAAACTTACTGTAGAAAGTGAAAAGTTTCAGATGAGATGGGGTGGCACTCAGGGTGTCAGGGCCATAGACAGAAAGTGAAAGGTTTCAAACCTTATCGTTACAGAAAACCACCATGTCACAGAAGTTAACAAGAAAGGAATAATGGATATACAGAGCCGTTAACAAAATGACAGAAGTATTTTGTTAACAATCAGCAATAACACTGAATGTAAATGGATTAAAACACCCCATTACTGGCTGAATGGATTTTTTAAAATCTCAACTATATATTGCCTGCAAGTAATTCAGTTCTCTGGGGAAAACATTTTGTTTTTACACAAATGGAATACAAAATCAAATAGGAGTAGCTGTCATAATGATAGGTAAAACAAGCTTCGAGTAAAAAACTATAAAAAGAGATATATATTTGCTATACAATGAAAAAGAATGGATTGAGCAAGTGATAATTATAACAAGTGTAAATTATGTTTCTAATACTCTGCCACCCAACTATATAAACCAAATATTATTAAATCAAAGAGAATGATAAAATCCAACACAATTATACTTTGATATTTCTAGATTCTACATTCAACAATGGACAGATCACCCTGATAGAAAATTAAGGGACACTGAAATTATACTATATTCCAAATGGACCTCACAAGTATTATAGAACATTTCATACAACACCCACAGAACACACACTGTTTTTACTGGCAAAGGGAGTATTTTTCAAGACAGACCACAAACTAAGTCACAAAACATGTTAAAACAAATTTTAAATTTTTAAAAATTAAAATTCTGTTATTGGTGGGAATGCAAACTAGTACAACCATTATGGAAATCAGTATGGAGATTTTTCAAGAACCGAAATTAAAAATTCCATATGACTCAGCTATCTCCCCACTAGGTAACATCTGCAATGAGCTTTTAAGTCATCATACTACAGAGATACATGCATACCAATGTTCAGAGCAGCACAGTTTGCAGTAATTAAATCCTGGAAGCAGCCTGTATGTATACCCATCAACAGGTGATTGGAGGGGCCAGGGATTTAGCTCAGTGGTGCCGCCCCCTGCCTTGCAAGCACAAGGTCCCAAATTCAATCCCTGGTACCAACAAAACAAAACAAAACAAAAAACCCCCAAACGATTGGATAAAGAAAATGTAGTATCTATAAATATGGTGAAGCACTATTCAGCTATGAAGAATGACATATTTGAGACATGT